AAAAAAAAAGAAAAAAATACCAGAAAAATTGTACCAGGAAATTAAGCCCCACTATCTTGCATCTTTCATTCATTGAGCAACTGCCGCAGAGGAGGTACTGCAAGACACAGTCTCTGTCCTTAAAGGGCATATGCCCTAGTGAAGAAGAAAGAGTTACAAGCAGTGATAATTGTATGGTGGTGTAAGAGATGAGCCCAAAGCCATTCACTTGTATTGTAATTGCCTGGGTCACTGGCAGGTAGAAAGTGCCGGGAATCTTAGCAAAAGTTAAGATCAGAGTTGGGTTTTAAATGGTTAAAATGATCTTTTCTGCCAGAAGAAATGATGACACTTATTTCTGACTTGAGCAGCATCATTATTAAATGCAGGATGGAGAAAGGCACATGGTGCAGTCAGGTGATACTTAAAAAATGGCTATCACCAAAAACAAAGCCCAGAAAAGGAGAGATACTTGGAGTAATCCTGATGCAAAAAAATTAGGATCTGAGTGCCCAGAGGTTTTTCAGTCCGTGGCTGAGGATGTTAGGGATGGCATATACAACTTGAAGGATTTTAAAATGTCTATATTGTTCTAGACATTTTGGCCAAGGAGCAAAATTTAAACTACTGCATCTTTTCAGGATAACCCACGAGAAGGAAACTTGCTGGAGATTTCAACTGCATTCCTCATTTAACATCAACTGCTTTATTGTAGAAATACTGTAAGTTCACTGAACCTCTTGTCAGCATGACACAAAAAAAAATTTCTACTTTGATTTCAAATGCACCCATTTTGACAAACTATGAAAATTAACAGCTTTGCCGGGCACGGTGGCTCACGCCTACAATCCCAGCACTTTGGGAGGCCAAGGGGGGTGTTTCACGAGGTCAGGAGTTCAAGACTAGTCTGGCCAACATGGTGAAAGCTCGTCTCTACTAAAAATACAAAAAATTAGCCGGGCATGGTGGTGTGCACCTATAATTCCAGCTACTAGGCAGGCTGAGGCAGGAGAACCGTGTGAACCCAGGAGGTGAAGGTTGCAGTAAGCTGAGGTCACACCGTTGCACTCCTGCATGGGCAACAGTATAAGCGAGACTGTCTCAAAAAAAAAAGAAAGAAAATTAACAGCTTATATGAAGTGCTAATGATAAAACTGTAAATCAAATGTAATACTTAGCAATTTCCCTTACCTGAATTCAAACACTCATTTATTTCTACTACAGTGTTAGAATATTAGTACAGACACCTGTTCAGCAAAAGTATCATTCATCAATAAGGCAGGACATTATAGCACTATCAGCCAAAGAAATGTTTCCTTCTCAAGACATAATTTTTTCCTCAAAATATACAGAATTATAAAACCAGTTACCCCAATGGACAACTCATCACTGATGAGAATACCAATTCCCCACACGGACATAATTTATTAAAAGGAAATATTACAGTATAATCATAGTGCACTCATTTTTAAACACAAAACTAAAACTTTAGGTTTTACACATTATATTCTGAGAGATGGCCTAATAAGCAATATGGAACACTGAATAGTGTATACAATTTTTGTAATCTGTTGATCTGAGTAGAAATATTGTACCTTAACTGTTGTGGTACAATATTGTATACATAAATAAATGGCAAGAAATCCTCCTCATAGTAAAAAAAGAATTTAGCATTTTTTTTCTCATGATTTGGAAGGCTAATATTTCACAAAATATAAAATTTCATATCTTAACATGCTTGCCAGGAATATAGTTTTGGGATATGGCTCCACGATTTTACCAGAGTGATAGACAGCTGAAAAACTTAATGACATATTCTACTAAGCTCCACCTAGACAACACCACGATCCCTTAATTATGCTTGCTAGTACTTAACACAAAATAAATGTGAGACCTTCTAAAACTTGAGAAGGCTTCAAATTATTTTTGATAGATCAATTTGCCTCTTTCTTCAACTAGTTAACTAGTGAACTGCAAACTAAGTAAACCTGTCGGTATCTTGCAGAGGAGTGAAACAATGAAATACAAAATGTTTGTTTACTAAACATTTATTCATTGGCAAATTTACATAGAAGGTAACATCACACATGATACTAGAGGAAAACTGTGCCAGTGATATGACTCACAACAAAAACATAAATGTTCCATTTTTCAATGTCAAATTCCTAATAAGATAAAAATATTCTAAATATGTCTTCTTAAACTCACCACATATAAATGAATATAGAAACTACTAAGATAAATTCTAAAATGGATACAACAGATTTCAGTTTTGTTTTAAACAGAAAAATTATTCAGCTAAAAAAAGTTGAGAAAAAGTTAAAGTCCCAGGCTTACAAATGGCAATGTGTGATGTCTTTTATGAAGTGTATGTGCTGGTTAAATTAGTTATGCCTATCAACCTTGTTACTGGTTTCTTCTGAGATGGAGCCTCACTTTGCTGCCCAGGCTGGAGTGCAGTGGTACAATTTCAGCTCAACGCAAGCTCCGCCTTCCAGGTTTGAGTGATTTCTCCTGCCTCAGCCTCCCAAGTAGGTGGGGCTAAGGTGTGAACCAGCACATCGGCTAATTTTGTATTTTTAGTAGAGATGGCGTTTCACATGTTGGCCAGGCTGGTCTTGAATTCCTGATCTCAGGTCATCCACCTGCCTGGGCCTCCCAGAGTGCTGGGATTACAGGCGTGAGCCACCACACCCAGCTGCCTTGTTGCTGTTTTTTATTGTTAGTTAAGAAAGACCAACAATGAAAAAAAAAAATTTTAAGGATTTTCAAAGGAAGAATCCTATGTAATCAGGCCCACTACAGATTACTTTTTTATGAATGTCCAGGACTATCAGAAAATCCATTATCATGGAAATTCTGTCAAAAGAGATGACATTTAGAGAAATCTTGCCTTTGGTCACAATCCCGGATGACACCAAAAAAAGCCAAGGAAATCCTAATCAGGTGTGACTAATGACACAGAAAAACATGCATCCAAATTTTGGTTCAGAAGTACACAAACTGTGCAACTTCTGTCAAGTTACTTCTTTGCTCTATAACTTCCTGACATATAAGGTAAGTCGATTGGATTATGTGGTTTTGAGGGCTGTTTTCAAAGATTAACATCTTTGATTTTTTTTAGTTACAGTGCATATCAGGATAGAATCAGATCTGGAGACTTTCGCAGAATCTGCTTATAGATGTAGATAATTATAAATTGATATTAATAGAGAATGAAGATCTCAGCATCCCCCAGAGAGGCTATTTTTAGAAAAAGGAAATATCCAAAAACAAAGTAAAACAAAAAACATCATGGATATCAGGACTTAGTTCCTTTGTCTGTTAAGTGGGAAAGTGTGACTGATGACATCTGACATCCTTTCAACTCTAAAGACTCTTCCTTTCGGGGTATATCTTTTAAAAGCCTTTCTCCAGGGATGTGTTCACATAGGAATGGATCACAAAGCCTCAAAGCTCCGTTTAGCCCAGAGTTTCACATAGGGGATTATTCCACACGAAAATTTAATGTGTTCACATAAAATTAATAATTCCCTAAGGAAATCAGCCAGAATTTCAATACAAAATTCTTTTTGCATTCTAGCAGATCATGAAGTAAATACCTACACCTCCACTAATGTCTATATAGGAGTGATTCTAAACATATAAAAGACAATCATTAACCAACAGTCTGAGAAATTTCTACGTGCCTAAATACTGTGCAAATTAATAAATACTGTTGTTGTTCGTTTAGGCGAATGGAAATCCAATGTTTCGGTGTCTTTGGAAATATGGAATTTATGACTCAGAAAAACATACATCCAAATTTTCGTTCAGAAACTGTGTGATTTGTCAAGTTTCTTCAATTTTTTGCTGCATAACTCTCCTAATACCTTGTTTTGGCATTCTGCTGCAAGGAAACATCTTGAACGGGATTTCTATCTTTAAGTGGTAACTAACTTCACAAATAGCATTTGATTCTTACAGCCAATTATACTAGAATAAAGACTGAAAAGGAATTTTCAAATTTGCAAAACACAAGATGAATCAAGATATGCATATACACTTGTCAGGGTAAAACTATATAGAATCCCTAGTTTCTGGTAAACATTGTAAAAAACTGTCTTAAGAAAATATCCAAATCACAAAAACATCAATTTAGGCTACCCTTAAATAGTAATGCATTTGTCACCCAGAGCCCAAAGTGGTAAAAGGGGATATACATCACAAAACACAGAACTGGGAGAAAAGTCACTGCCCTGGGGAAGCCTGTGGAGTTTTAAGAGTTCATTACATATCTAGCAGAAGGAAGAGGAAACAATGTCAACTATAATGCAAACTGAAGAGGACTAATGAAGCTGTAGCTAACAAAATCAGGGCAACAGACTATGAAGAAAATGAATGACTCTTCAACCCATATATACAGCATTTCAAAAGGTCACTAGCTGAATTTAGGGATTTTTTTTGGTTTGATTTTTAGTTTTAGTTTTTCGCCTTCCTCTGAAGCATCAAGGGATTGGAGGCAGGACGCAGGTTACAGGAACTGGTGGACCAATGGTCTGATTCAGTATGGCAAGTCCTACGTTCCTATAACAAAGGGGAAATTACAGCATATCACTTTGTGTGCACACAGATCTAGGGCCACATGCACACTCTATCTGTCTCAGGGGTCTGAAATTTTATCAATAAAAAAATAATTTATCAAAAATGAAGTTTTACACCAAAGCCAAGAAAGTATGAAAAATCCAACAGCAGTGAAGACAGAGGTAAGTAAAAGCAAAGATTTAAAAGTGATAAACTATGTACAAAGCCTTTCACCTGACAGGTGTGCAACCCAACAGGTGTGGCACTCTTCCCTGACATTCACTTATGCCAAGCAGGTAAGAAGAAAAACGTTGACAAAGTAAAACCGGAAGGCTTACTTGTCTAAGTTTCACATGTAATAAAATAAGAAATTACAAATTCAGCAATTTTTCTGAACCAGAAACCTAGAAAGATTAGAGGAAGAACCACAGACAATTCTACTAGACATGCTTATGTATGTTTTCTATCATGCCTGGTAGAAAGTTCTTTGAAGGCAGAGATTGCTTCTTAATCATCTTTGTATCTACAGCAAAAGTATATACACAATGTCTTGCCAATAGCAGGCTTTCTATAAACACTCACTGATGAATAAATTACAGTTTCAATGAGGCTCCATAATGGAAACTTGAATTGTATTAAATCTGCATTAAATGTACTCAAAATGAAGTTAAACTTAGGATTTCACTTTAAATGAGAGCCTTGCAAAATATACCAGTAATAAAAGCGTTTTATGCCAGGTGTTACTTTAATCAAAACAGCTTCTTGTGTTTTAAATTTGAAAACTCTCACAAGCTAATCCCAAGATGAGCAACGCAGTAAATTCAACTACTTCTGTGGCAAAGCAAGTCTTTAATAACTGGATCTGTTAGTAGAAAGCTGAATTGCTGCAAAACAAGTGCTAATAACCTCATTACGCACTGGGGGCCATGCAGACAGGATGGTACTGAATCCAAACAAAGGATGCAGAAGACTAGTTTCGGGATTTTAAAACTAAGGCTTCAAAAAAGTAAAATACAATTTAAATACAGTAACACCCTATTAAATACAAACCAAATACATGTGAATTTTTATGTATGTGTGCATATATCTCTATATACATATTTTTTCTCCCCCTCCAGGCAGTGCCACTGTGAATGATACATAACTTTTGAATCCTTCTTGCCATAAAACGTTAAATTTTTATTCCTTTTAAACATAGCTTCACTTATTATCGCAAGTAAGTAAAGAAAATCTTGATCACTGGAAAACATTTTTATATGATCTCTTTCTTTTTGGTTCTTTCTTCATGTTACAGGATATAAAAGTCACTTAAATCAATGGATTGGTTTACTTCTTCACATGAACACTTCCAAATGACTTTAATAAACCTGTTCTCTTGCATCTTGAAAACATTAGGACTTTCATTTATATTGATAATACACTAATATCACACTAACATTTATGCTAATATTTAATAACCTCTCATTAAACCAATGAAAACATCAAAATAAGATGTGATAAACAGAGTTTTACCTGACTCACCCATTATCCTACTGAGGGCAGCATTTCTGCTGGGCGATTCATCAAGCCCCTCAATCCCACCGTAGAGGGAATGGGAAATTCTTCGTTCTCTATCATCCAACGCTGTTTCAATGGGTAGCTCGGGTCCAGGGGGGCTCCCAGGTGACTTCAGCTACAGCGTAAGGAGTGGTGGGGCGGGGGGGGCAAAGAAAAATCAGTACGTGGAGGCCCATTAGCAGCATGGGGGAATTATAACAACTTGCCCAAGGCCTGTATCCAACTGGGTACCAAATGAACTAGAACTTTTCACCCTGTACCAAAATAATTTGCGATGACAGCTCTGCCTAATGACCAACTTTCTGTGCCACTTTATACTGTGCCTCCCATGAAGTTCTGTCAGATTTCAACCACTGGAGGAAAAATATGTATATTAAAGACTTTTTTAAAATCAGAGCTTGTTGCTTATTTTTCCAATTTGACTGTTAGTGTCTGTTTAAGTCAATTTAAGTTACAGTGTAATTCAGAATTCTTTACTAGATGTTACTCTATAAAAGGTGTGCTTTATCAGAACAGAAGCTGCAATTTAGCTATAGGTCTTATACTTATGGTAGGTAAACACATCTAACAATTAGCACACATTTTTGCATGTGTGCTGGTGGAATTATTACCTACTCTACAAGACCAAAAGAGTCCCATTGTCAGCTCGGGTGTATTGAACAACAAACTGATTTTAAATTCTTCCTGCTACAAATTAAGAATAATCATGGTATTATCTTACTGTAATGTTTAAGTACACGATAGTAGCTACAATAATCACTTTAGCAGTATACAGAACAATATGAAAATTGGGACCAAATATTCTAAGGAAGTACACAAAGGTAAGAGGATTTCCAAAACATATACAATATAATAAATAAGCAATGAATGTATGTCAATTTTGATGACAATAAATTAAAATGGTATGGGGCATTTCTTAAAACACCTAGCTGTGTCTGATAAGTCATATTTTACATAAAAATAATATGAGTAAGTGATTCATGTTAGTAAGGCCTTCAAACAATTCTGTTTTAAGGAGGATCAAAGTGCATTTAACTACAATTCCCATGACGCGGGCTCTGAGGTTTGCCACAAGGACTGATATCTCATGCTGCTTTGGTGTTAGCCAGAGAGGGAGGGCCAATATGGGGGAGTGGGCAGGAGGGCAGCACCACACAGAACAGCGAGAGAGAAGGCACTCAACCCACACAGAAACCACAACTGTCGTGCTTCCTTCGGCTGAACAAATTATTATTTCTGTTAGAAGCTATCATCTGTTTAATATAAATGAGATATTTAATGAAGTTCCGAATTGTAGACTTATCTCTCCCGGTTTGATAAGCACTGGGGAGATTTAATGCATTGAAGGGTCAACACAATTACAATTGGAGGCACGTCAAACTGCAGGAGAATAATAAACTTGCAGCTCTAGTGAATTAGACTCAATAAGGTTTAAATTATGAAATGAGGATTTGTTTTATTAGGTTTTTTTTAAATTGCAGATTACAACTGACAGCTTTACTGAAAAGTAAATTAAATATTCAAGGTCTCTGATGTAAAGAAATAAAAGAACAGTTTCTAAAAGAATGTAATGCCTAAATTCCAAGAGACTCTGGGGACGTTAAAAGAAAAAAAAAGGTTAAAAAAAGTAATACCCTTACCATTAAAAACAAGTATCGTTTTTAAATGAACACCCACACTAAGAAGTATAACTACATAAAGACTCGATATGCAAGACTCTATAAACAAGTCTTACTATACAACAATTTATCAGAAGACAGACAACATATCCTCAAGCTTGCCTGAAAAATGTATTTAATTGAGCTACATAATGCTGTAATTTTCTAGATGATAAAACCTTTATAAAGTTTCTTCTTGAGAAATCCCTAAATATCCCAAAAGGCTATTTTAAAATTTTATAAAGCCAAATAAAAATTCCATTAAAAAACAGTACATTCAGGTTTTCTAGAGAAAAACAATAAGACGTCTGTTCAGGAAAAAAAACAAGCACTTGAACATTTTCATGGGAAAGATTCTCCACCTCCTCTACCTCTCTACCCATGTTTAATTTGCATCTCAAAAGACAGATTTAAATGAAGACATCAATAGTTGACTACATAAATATTTAACAGAAGATACAATGGCTTTAAATTTCTTTAAAAAAAAAACTGATCGAGGTTACAGTTTTGTTTTAAATCTTTTGATGATTTTTTGTTGTTGCAAGTACACCAGCTTAGGAAAGAGAAATGTGTGGGAAGGGTCCCCCGCCGCACTGAGGAAGAGGGGCAACCCCAGTGGTCTTGGGAGAAGGGCTGGCCTCTGCTCCCCCGGCTGCTCTCACGCCCTTGCAGACACCTTATATTAAAACTTTATTAAAATTAAGCTTCATTAGAAGAATAAATCAAAGTAAGCAGAACTTCAATTTTCATTTTGTTGTCTGTTTGTGGTTTAATGTCCAAAAATTTTCTTGACTCCAACTAAATACAGTCACCTACAGCACTGGCTGTTGGGCCCCTCTGCTCCATCCCAAGGAAAACAACAAAAATGGCTTCAGGTTCCCGCAAGATAACCCACACTCATAGGATTGTAGAGTGATATAGTCTTTGGCTACAGTAATTTGAAAATATATTATCACAAGTCAAAAAAAAAACTTATTTTTAACTCTTTGAACAGGCCTTTATATTTCATGTTGTGGTCACACTATCCCAAAGGAAATAATAAGCTAAGTGAATAACGAAGATTCATGTGACTTTATCTGTGGGGTTTAATAAAATCTCTGTTTGTTGTGAGTATGCATTAGCAAGTCAAACAGTGTCTTTCACCTAAATAAAATGTATCTCACCACCTCCTCTACAAACACTGAAAAGTTCCTATTGGAATGGCCTTAACACCCTTCAGCAAACCTAAAACTGGATTCTCACTGGTGATTGGAAAGATCATATTATTCAATATTTCAGGTTTTTTTTTAACATAATCTATTTTTTCCCCAATGTCTAGCATAGAGTAGGCACTGGTGGAATAATTAGATTAATAAATTCATTCCTAAAAGTGAGTGAGTCATATTTTCCTTAAACCACACTACATCGTGTGGAAATAGGCTGTTAAAACTGAGAGCATAGCATAATGTTGAAATTAAAAGACATTTAACCTAGATTACAAATACACATTCTGGAAAATATTTGCATCCAGAAGCCAAGTAAACATAAAGCAACTAATGAAAAGACAGATTTTAGTTTTGGAGGAGAATGAAGGCAGATTTAAGGTACAGTTTCACATTCTCTTTTCAAGCAGGACCACATTTATTTTCCTTCACATCCCCATGAGGGCAATGGCAAGAACCAGAAATGTGAGGTGAGCTCCTCAAGGCAGCACGTGGCAGGGCCAGAATTTCACCGATTCCCTCAGATTGTAAAGCCCATACTTTTATTGTACACTACTTCCCAACACAACTGGGATACAAAATGCCGAAACAACAAAATCACAGTCAATTAGATACACTCACTTGTGTAAGAAAAACAGACACTTTGCTTCTAAACTACTTAGCTACCTATGCTGGCCTTGCAGCTATTGAAGCAAATCATTTGACCTTTTTGCATTTATTTCTTAATACAGAAAACAAAGAGACTCACAAATGACACCTTAGGCTGCTTACTATTCTAATATAGTTTTCTAATTCTAAGAGGATTAAACCTAGAGAAAGAATTCATTTTAAAGAAGTCCTTGATGACTAAATCCCTCAATATGGTCTAAGACAGAAAGCTCACCTGGTGATATTCTCTACTGGCACTAAAAAAAGGCTTTACACAAAATCACTTCTAACCGCTATAATAAAATGTCTGGAAGCTATGTTAAATTACAGTAATTTCTATAAATATTAATTTCCTTAAAATATTTGAAATCAGCATAATTCTCATATAGAGGCTATTTTAAACGTTCAAGGAATGATGCCTGGTGTTTACTTCCATTCCCCACCAGCCTCCTTTGAAAGCCTTCAACAGACATGCCCTTTGGGGTAAGTGAAAACAAGTCTTCTCTCCCTGCTTTGTGTATTCCAAAACTGAAACAATGGAAAAGAGTGCCAGGTCTTAGCTTTTCTCTAAAAAAGTGAAACCATCCTTTCGTAGTTTTAAACAAGGGGAAGCCATCTCTTTATCTTTGAAAAAAGAAAAAAGAAAACAAACAACGATTGCTTATACAATGCTTTTAAGTGTAGTTAGGTAAGACCATTAGATATATGGAAAGAAGGAACGCAAAGAAAGTAAGAATCACTGCCCCAAATTCATTTTATATACCTTGTCTGAGGGTGATTTCAGAATTTCAGTTTCTAATATTAACAAGACCAATTTTTCTTTAATAACGCCAGACTCTCCAGGGTTGCTCACTGGCGTTCAGGCCAGCTGACCTCTCAGGCCTGGACTGGATACCAGCAATGGATAGACAGAAACGTGGTAGATGGACCAAGTTCTGGCAGTCTCAGAATTCACAGTTCCAGCAAAAGAAAATCAAAGAGGAAACCATGACAGCGTGACAGCTGCTGGGTAGAGGTAGGTTCACAGGGCGATGAAAATACTTTGGAAGAGGTAAATGGAAAATGAAAGACTGTGGAAGTGTTTGCTAGGATGAGGGGCAGATGGACTCAAGTGGAAGACCTAGAGATGTGAAAGAGCATCCACGTCTGAGAAATTACCAGAAACACTGAGTAGCTGGAGCAGAGGTGCTGCAGAGGATGTAGGGCACCGATGACAATCAGGTATGTCCCAGTGGGCCCCATGATGGAGACTCGTTGATCCTGGAGTCATGGAAAGCTCCTAAAGGATTTCAGCAGGGACTGACATGATCAATGTGTTTTGCAGAAAAATCTGCCTGAGTGCGGCCAGGCGCGGTGGCTCACACCTGTAATCCCAGCACTTTGGGAAGCCAAGGTGGGCAGATCATCTGAGGTCAGGATTTCGAGACCAGACTGACCAACACGGAGAAACTCCATCTCTACTAAAAATACAAAATTAGCCACATGTGGTGGCACATGCTTATAATTCCAGCTACTTAGGAGGCTAAGGCAGGAGAATCACTTGAATCGGGAGGCAAAAGTTGTAGTGAGAAGAGATCGCACCATTGCACTCCAGCCTGGGCAACAGAGTGAAACTCCATCTCAAAACAAACAAACAAAAAATTGTCTGACTGCACTGGAGAGAATGGAGTGAGGGAGAAAGCAGAGAAACCCCTCAGGGATCTGCAGCAGTGAGCCTGGTGAGAGGATGAGGTCTGAACTCAGGCAGTGGGAGAGGGAAGAAAGGGTAACAGGCTGAGCGAAGAGAGATTCTATGCCAGGCGCAGTGGCTCACAGGCATAATCCCAGCACTCTGGCAGACCAAGGCTGAAAGATGACCATCTTTAAAGAAAAAATTAGCTAGCTGTGACGGTGCATGCCTGTGGTCCCAGCTACTAGGGAGACAGGTGGCAGGATTGCTCGAATTTGGGAAGTCAAGGCTGCAGTGAGCCAAGACTGCACCACTGAATTCTCGCCTACACGGCAAAGCGAGAAAACGAGACTCTGTCTCCAAAAAGAAGAGAGAGAAATTCTAGAGGCAGAAACAACAGGGACAGGCATAGTGACAGCATTCAAGAGGTCAAGGGTGACCCCAGATCTCTGCCTTCTACAACAGAAAGAATGTGGTGCCTTGTGAATTAGGTGTCCATAAAACACGAGGAAATATGTCCCTGGGCAGGTGGACAGAGGGATCTGGCGCCATAGTGGAGTTGTGAGCTGGAAAGAGGATAATGGTATTCATCCTAATGTGGTTTCAGATGGCCAGGGAGTGGACAACAGCTAGGGAGCATGAGCAGAGTAAAAACAAACAGACCCGAAGGAACCTTGAAAGACAGGAACAATGAAAGAACAGAAAGAAAAGAGGAACCCTTAGAGAAGTTCCAAAGTACAACATCAGAAAAACAGAGTAGACAAGAGACACTTTGAGAATGAGATAGTACCCACAGATTCCTGAAAGACCAAGCAATTAGGCTAAGAAATAGCTCCCAGAGAAGGTCTCCAATGTGCCCTCTTGGGACTAATGTTAGGGAAATACATGGCTTTAAAATAATACCTAGTGAAAGGAGCTGACAAATAAACTTAAAGAAAACATATTGGACCAGGTGAGGTGGCTCATGCCTGAAATCTCAGCACTTTGGCAGGCTGAGGCCAGGAGTCAGAGACCAGCATGGACAACATAGCAAGACCCTGTCTCTACAAAAATGAAAAAATAAAGAAAACATATTAAGATAATACATACCACTTCCATGTGTAAGAGAAAGAAATATGTGATAAAATACAAAAGATTTTCTTTTATACATTCTTATCTTTCCTAGCTTGAAATTAAATATGCAAATCTTGGGTTTAAAGATGAAATTGCAAAATGCAGTTTTCTGATTGGCAAACACTGGACTATATGGCTAAAAGACATAGAAAGACAACTCAGCACATTATTTTGGCTTGAGATTTGTTCAGGACAGCGTGATGCCCTATGCTTCTATCAATATTTACTGTAACATAATTTACACACACCCTCCCAGTGTGCAAGGGAGGTGGTTTTCCAAAGGTAATGCGTAAGTACAACAGCTGAAAAATCATGTCTTATGCCTTATGGGAAGCTGAATTGAGATCTTCTGTCTTCATACAATTCTTTAGTTAAACCCTTTCAGTACAAAAGGCTTCTTGCTAGTATTACAAAGATAGCACAGCACTCATAAGACATTCTTGATATAACTGCTTTATAAGTTCATGCTGTCCTAAAAAATAGTAATAACCAGCAATGTATGAAAATGATACCATAAGGAATATTGAATATTAAAGTCTATTACTGTCTACTGCAGCTGTTTCCTTACTTAAATCACATTCCTTCACACATACTCATATGCAGAAGTGAACGAGACACAGATATTTCAGGGGGATTCCAATTTCATGTCTCTTACAGGACAAGACGGAATAAAATCAGCGCTTTTATCAAAACATTTTCAGGCTGGTACTGGTTTACTTTGTCACTGTTTGGGGGGAACAACTGGGAATAATCTGAATCAGATAAAAGCAGAACACTGATCTTCAGTTCATTTCTGCATTTTTAAGTCTTCCTATAGCATTCAATGTTTCCTGTGAAGGAAAATGTTGAGAGGTTGTTAAGATTTTTAGTTGGTCTCTAAAAAGACTAAGAAGGTGATACGTTGTCCAGTAGAATGCATCTCATCTGTCTTATTCACTGCTATGTCCCAAGGATCTAACACATTTTTTAATACACATAAGATGCTTAATAAATATCTGTGGAATGAAAACTGTCCTGTGGAATGGGAAAGTATTCAGGTGGCCAAAAATAAAAAGGCCTAACAGAGAATGATATATTTATAAACTTACAGTTGAGATGTTTTCATTTAATGCTTTGTGGGAATTAAGTTAAAAGATCAGCTAATGCTTTTGCAATGAATAAAAACTATTACTCAATCAGTCCAGGAGAGAGGGAAGACAGAAAAAAAAAAATTAATCCAGTACCCTACTCTGAGGGATTATTTTTATATTTATCTTACATAAATGAATGTTTTTATGTCCCACTCTTTTCCATTCTGAAATTTTTTGTTAAGGTTACATTGTTCTCTTGATATGGAAATTAATTTGTTAATTACTGTTAACTCATTCCACATTTGGCAAATAATAGTAACAAAATAACTCAGTGGTCAGTGATTTTTCAGAATACATCACCTTTATATTGACTACCAACCGAGCTCCAGAGTATATTTACATTGTAAAATATGCTTGTATCATAGGTTCAGAGGAGTGGTCACTGCAACCTGAAAAGTTTGCTTTACATGTTTATTAAACAGAAGTTTTAAAATTAAGAAAAACAAACTATTTAGGTATAATTTTCAGTTTGTATTATTTGCTAATCATTTTATCTTAGCTGATTTTAATATGTGGGAATCTGAACATCGATTTAAGAAAAATACCACATTTTCAACAGCTCTTTTTTGCACATGGGCAAGACTGACCTATTTTCTATAGATGGCACATAATTTATAATGGATCCATGAAATTTAGCTTTTTTCAAGCTCCAATGTTAACAACTCTACATATAATTCATTTTTAACTTTCAAATGTCCTATTCTACAACAAAGTATGTTTTACATATTTGGGAAAATAGATGATCCTACCCTTCAAGAAGAGAGGATGTCCTGTTTCTTTTTCCTCACTCCTAATTCCAGACGGCAATATACATTTAGAACAAGGAGAGTATATTGCAATACAGATCACTGAAAAAGGAGGCATTCAAAGAGAACAGGCTCAACCCCATAGAGAAAGAGAAAATAGGGACTGAAGACAGAGAGGGAGGTATACGCTATTGGTATAGCGTATTGGACATTGATAATGTCCAAGAGAACACCATCATCTAAGAAACCAGACTGTGTGGCAGGTGCTATGGCGCATGCCGGTAATCCCAGGACTTTGGCAGACTGAGGCTGGAGGATCACTTGAGCCCATAAGATGGAGGCTGCAGTGAGCTGTGGCCACAACACTGAACTCCGACATGGTCACCACAGTGAAATCCTGTCTCAACAACAAAAAAAAGAAAAACAGGAAGGGGGAAAGAATCCCTACTAACCTTTGTAACAGGCATCCCATTTTAGATAAACAAATGAATAAGCAACTGTTTCTCCGCATGATTCACCTCCCAACTAGAAGAGAAAATGCCAGCTCTGAGAAGGAAGATGTGACCCTGATTTCAAGAAGAAAACTGAGCCAAAGGTGCTCTTCAGATCCCAGTGTTTTCTGCCGAGGTGGCAACAGGAGTATTAATATCCACTTAGGAATATGTTGATCACAAGACTTAAGAACACAAACCACAATCCACTGACAAAATAATAAAACTACAACAAGCTAAGATAATTTATGGTCTTTTGTGGTAATGTCCTGGAACCTAACACCCTTTGTCCAAAATTAGGACAGAAATGTAGTTTTATTGCAGATGCTAGTGCTGTTTTGCATTTTTTTACCTCATTGCACTTGCTTATTCTCCTCGCAACAATAAGCTGGATCATTCCTCGTTTATTGCCTTCAGTAGACATAGACCTTCTTAGGGTTTCCATGGCATCTTGGTTTGTCTTGCCCAACAGGGATTCTCCATTTACTGCTATCAGTTGATCATTCACCCGAAGCCTTCCATCCTGGGAAGAAAACAGGTAAAAATAAGTGCTATTAAATAGACTGCTATAAAAGAAGTAGCTTTTCCTTTAGTTAATAAACAAAATAAAAACAAAGCAAAAAAAAAAAAAAAAGTTGGGAACTTTAATCCTGATGGATTATGCCCAATTGAATGCTGGCATAAAAACGTCTAAGCAGCCATTGTAGCCTGTGTCTATTTCAATCATTTATACATTTGTAAATCAAGTCATTATCATAATCTGTTTACCAAAATAGCATACTAATTCAAAGGACACAAAGTGATTACTTTCTTGCTTCCAGAGACACCCATAGAGGTTATTTACAACCCAAGACATGTAAAAGCTCAAGGCTATTAGACAGTTGCAGAGAAGTGTCCCCTTAACAAATGGCCAGGAAATTTTCTCTAGGCTGAGAAATAGAATAAGTGACCCACAAACACAGGAGGGGAGGGGAAAGACTAACATCTACTATAGGCCAGTTCTGTGCCAGGATCTATGCCAAATCTTTGCATAAATTACCTTCATTTAACTAGCATGTCTATGGGTTGTATGTTCTGTGAGAGAAAAAAATGAAGGGCTGAAGTTATGGACTCCATCCCCACATGACACATCATTGAGGTATCTAATAGTTGTTTGTTTGTGAATATGGGTACCATGAAGAAATGAGAAAACATCTGTTAACTGTACATGTTCTCAAAATAGGAATAGGGTTGAAATTAAAATTTTTGTTAACAGGCATATGTGTGGTAAAGTTGACACTTACTTTAGATGCTGCTCCTCCATTAATAATGGACTTGACAAAGATTCCCAAATCTGCGTGGTTCTCTTTTGACCGGTTACCTTTGACACTGACACCAAGGCCTGCAGATCCTGAATCATTAAGTGGGACTTCAAACGTCAGAAATTCCCTGGTGCCATCAGGTGTGAGAACAATATCCTCATCTTCTGCTTTCTAAGAGGGAACAAAATTGCATAGCACATTATATTCCAATGTTTCTTTCTCAAAGTTATTTTTATTTATTTTTAATTTTTTAATCAAAATGTATTCCCAGCACAGAAGTTATTTTTAAAGACTGCTAACGAACAGTTCCTTAATCATAAGAGGCAAAATATTTCCACCAAGATTTCACGGCAAGATCCAGGAAAATAGTACATCTGTACACACTCCAGAAGATTCCCGGAACCAGCTGTTAATATTTTTATGTGGCAATTATTCAATATTGAACCAAATGTAAATCAGATTTGAGAAAGATGGGGGAAATGTAGTAGAAGGACTAAAGACTAGTACACTTCTAAAGTTTGGGTTTTTTGGGGCTATTTATATATTCTAAACCACAGGAGAATAACAGTAACAACAGGAGTCAAGATAAATAAATATAATTCATCTCCCTCTCTTTGAGGGATTGTAACTTCAACATCTGTGAGACAAAGCAGAGATACACAATATCACAGAAAATTTTTCCACATTTTTTCATACATAATATAGCTGGTGAATATTATTCAAGCAATATTGTTTGATTAATTAGTTATATATCAAGACTTAACTTCACAGTCACCAAGTACAGAAGACAAAGAAGACTTTTAAAATAAAACACATTTAGGATATACAAATTCTTGTTCACCTCCTTTAGAAGAGAGGAAGAAATGAAAGCTTAATGTATAATTGGATAAAATGCATTAAGATGACAGTCTATCATTAAGAAAGGCTGCAATCCAGAAGAGGGAGTACTCAGCCTTCTAGCTATTCCTCAGCAATCCCATTCATGGCCACGATTTCTACCACCTCTATGCTGGTCACGTCCAAATCGCTAAGGCCAGGACACTTGTTCAAGCTCAAACTCTTGCTCCAATTACGTAAGAGGCACGTGGCACTGGCTCTTCAAGTAAAAACTGAATGGCATATCTAGTCCTACAACCTAGTTCTCCTGCTCTTTCCCAACCTTTGAACTATTTCTCCAGTATCTGCTTAGTCATTCAAGCTTGACTTATCAAATTATAATTGAAGAATAAGAAATATAACGGCACACAGATATGTAGGAATATACACTTCAAACAGATTGTGCTTTTACGGAATGTTCAACAACACGAAGAAAGTAGGTGACTGCATCCTACCAGATTTTTGAAACATCCTAATAAGAATGGAAATCAACCTAGTAATTATAAAATAGGTGTGGTGAGGAATTTGGGGTGTAAACATGTAGTCTCTGATGTCTCAATTACATAAAATACATTTTGAGAGTACACTACCTGTAAGTGAATTTTTTCCATTATAAAATAGGCAATATGCTATCTGTAAGTCTTCAGACTCACAGTAATGTGATATGTAAAGTGATGTTTCCAACTCACAAATATTCAACGTTAACATTTTATGGTAGGACATCTTTGTGCTATCTCAAAGGACAGCCTCATAGTTTTTAAAGACAAGTAACATATCAATTATAATAAACTTGCTAATGGGTTAAAAAAACATTAAAACTTATATAATGACGAACTCAAAATAAGAACCTGAAAAAGTACAGGGTAATGGTCATGTTAACTATGCAAAGCAAATACATTTTACAATCAGAGTCCAAATAAAGCCTTAGGCCTGCTCATTATAGAAGCTATATTTAAAATATTCCCAGGGAACAATTATAGCTCAAAAAATCCAATGTATTATGGTAGGCAAAAAAAGATCAAATATATCAAATACTTTGACACAGAAGTATCTTTATATACACGCCTTGCTCTATAAACATGGACATTCAATACACTTTTTTATTGTGGTGCATGTGGCTCAAAACAGGTTTTGTTTTTTTTTGTTTGTTTGTTTGTTTTTGAGATAGTCTCACTTTGTCAACAAGGCTGGAATGCAGTGATGTAATCCCCATTCACTACAGCTGTGACCTCCCCAGGGCCCCAGATTCAGGCAATCCTCCCACCTCAGCCTCCAGAGTAGCTGGGACTACAGATGTATGTCATCAAACTGGGTGTATTTTTGTGTTTCTTTAGAGACGGGGTTTCACCATGTTGGCCATGCTGGTCTCAAACTCCTGGGCTCTAGCAATTCGCCGGCTTTGGCCTCCCAAAGTGTTGGCCTTACAGGCTTGACCCACATGCCCAGCCCCTTGAAACATTTAAAGAGTACTTAATAACGACTGTGTATGGATGAACTGCACTACCTCAATATAAAATCTGTTATAAAAATAAAAGGTACATTAAATTTTGATGTTTAAAATACAAAACAGCATCAATAGCATCAATATATACCACAGTTCCTCTTGACTTTAAATTTAGAGGTAACTGAAATAAAAATTATTCTGTCAATCAGTACTTATAAGCCTGGAAGAGCAACATTTGAAAAGAAACGGAAAACAAGGATAGTCTTTCTACAGACACATCTAAGTCTCATCATTCAATATGCTCACTTGCCTCAACTCTGGAAGGTTCTTAATTGTTACTTCCTGATTTGAATCTTCAGTTGCCTTTTTAGCATTTACTGAGTTTTACATTTGTATAACATTTTACCAAGGCTTACAATTCTCATATTTTTCCTACTTGAAAGATCAGGATAAGGAGCCAGCTGCATACATGAAGAAAAATTATAATCAAATTGGAATATTTTCTGACTGCTGAACACTGAACCTGTTTTTTTTTTTTTTTTTAAAAAGCATATTCTCCAGGGGATAGTTTCATTTATCATAATAGCTGCAGAATGGGATTAATCTTTTTCAGCTTTCTTATCAAGTCATAAGTCATTATTATCATTAAGGACACTGACGTGAAAGACTGTACATTTCATGTGATATTCCATTATTAACCCATTTGGCTCCTGACATAGACAGAAATTGATGCCAGCTTTTAGAACTTAGTTCTCTGGCAGAAAAAATGTTTTTTAAAATTTTCCTTTTCAAAAATCATTTGAAATGCTCTATTACTGAGAACGTTCATAAAGTCAGATAGCACAGGAATCTCTATATTCTGATGTAAAGTAGAAGCTAACTTTTGATCACCCTGTTATTCCATGCAGATTCTGCACCTTATCAACCGTATCTTGAATTACGGTCTTCCTATAGAAACGCAAAAAATGTCTTTTCTTTAACTCGCTCCTCACTTCATCTGTGCATGGTCATGCCACTCAAGCACATCCATCTCTTGCACATACCTGTGTGTATATCTCAAGTGATTTTTTTCAACAATAAAGCCTGTCAGTTCTTCCTTTACCCATTTCTCCATTACCACTTGTTGTCTTTAAATGCCCAAAACAAAAGAGCACCTTTGCTAAGTAACCTGCTGAATGGGTACCGTGAAAGCTACTTACTATCCCATTCTCCTGAGAAAAGCAGAAAACATGTACATTTGTATTATTTGTATCTGTAGTGAGACGCAAAAAGAGTCACAAGTGGCCACTACCATGGCCCCAATTTCCTTCTTCCCCAAATAACAGTCCAAAAACTGAGAACAGAGCTGGCCCATAGGCCCGAATCCACAGTTAATCTGCAGCACAGGTGTATCTATAAAAAAGAAACTAAGAGCTGACTGTGTTAAACAGCAGAAAAACAATCATGGAAATGGTAATCTCTGAGCTGCAACATATGAAGATTTGGATGAGAATGTACAAAATATTGTGAAGAGAGGCACAAAAATCCATGGTCTGTGCACATGTGACAGAAGACTATAAAATTATGAGTGAGCTTACTACCCTATTTTGGGCTGTATAACAATATACGTGACTCAGCAAAATTTTATCATTTCACTCTAAATCATTAATTTCTCTCTCTCAAGATCTGCCCTTATCTACAGTTATTATCTTTTTTCTTTTTTTGCCACAGGGTGTTGCTCTGTCGTCCAGGCTGGAATGCAGTGGTGTGATCATAGCTCCCTATAACCTTGAACTCCTGAACTCAAGAGATTCTCCAGCCCTCAGCCTCCCGAGTAGCTGGCTGGGATCACAGGGCACACCACCAAGCCTGACTAACTTTTTTTCTTTTTGGTAGAGACAGAGTCTTGCTATGTTGCTCATGCTGGTCTCAAACTCCTGGGCAATCCGCCTGCCTTGGCCTCCCAATGTGCTGGGATTATAGGCAAGAGCCATGATGCCCAGCTGAGTTACCATCTTTAATACACAAATCTCTAATAAATTAATAAAAAAAGATAAGCAGTCTGCATCAAAGAGGAAAAAGATGTAAACAAGCCATTCACTAAAGAAAGATGAGTGTATCAATAAGTAAACCTCTAAGTACAAGGTTCAATCTTACTTGCAACTCAATCAAAGGTTATTCAATTGCTCCATATATTATACTTTCTTTAAAATAATGATATCCAGCAAATGCTGCTATGCCATAGAATATTACAAAATAAAAATAATGATATCTAATAGTGTAGAAGATTCTTGCACTGTTGGTGAAAGTAAAAAATGGCACAATATTTATGGAAGCTAATTTGGCAATGCTTATCTAAATCCCCTACAGTTTGTCTTTTTCTTAGGCTAGAAATATTACTTTTAGTAATATGGCCTATAAAACTAATTGTGATCATGTACAAAGATTTAACTGTGAGGATATTGTTTTAATTATGATAGCTAAAAATTGACATGTATGACAGTAAGCTAAGAAAATTAATATATATCTACACAATGGAAAGCCATGCAGTTATGAAGTATCTTAGCAAACTATTTTGTAAGACAAGAAAGTATTTGTGACTAAGAAATTGGGTTTCACCATGTGGGTTTTCATAACTTCCAGTACGCCAATCAAAAACCTCCACAACATATTTTTATGAAATAATGTCTGCCTTCAAAGATCACTAGAAGATTCACAAGGTCGGAATTTATGTCAGTCTTCACTCATGCCTGGGGCATGACATTTAACAATATAGGATATGTGGCTGGGACATGATACATGTAAAATAGGTGGACAAGAATTTTATTTGTCTGTTTTTTTTCTGAGATCGAGTCTCGCTCTGTTGCCCAGG